AATTGTCGTATCGTCCCAGTTAAAATTATGTCCCAACAATCTATGTGTTGAAATAACAGAGAGATTTTCAAACGATTTGTTAATGTTCGAACGGTGCTCTTTCACTCTAGTAATTAAACGTTTGCCCGTCTCCCTGTCTTCCCTTCCCTTTTTTCTCCCTTTCTCATTTTTTTAAAAAATCCCTTGCTCCTTCCTCTTCCTACCTCGATTCTCCTCTCTTTCTCTTTCTTTTTTCCCCCTTCCCCTTTTTTTATATCTCTTTCTTCCTTATATCCTTTTTGTTTCTCACCCAATCTAGTCTCGACCTTCTTGATTTCCACTTCTTCCCATTTTTCTGGACTTGGCTTCGTCGTTTCGATTTCTGCTTTTTGGCCAGTACGTACTTCCTTTACGTTTTACACAATCCTTAACAATTGCTTTAATTGACACATAAATTGTTGTGAACTTTTTTTGTACATGAGATGCTGTCCCGATTGAGCTTGCTGTTTATTCTTGTTTTTTTTTTCTTTTTTGCAGGCTACCACCTTTTTATCAACTTCAATTTCTTGTTGCTCCTTTGACAGAGTGATTTATCTCTATGGATTATTTTTACCAATTTTATCATCACGACTTTCCTATGGACATCTTTAATTTATTAATTTTTATTATTTGGATGGTTTCATCGAGGGAGCTTAGAATCTCGGACGCCTTTTCTTTTATAGAGTATTTGTGATATTGAGGTGAGCTGTGCTCTGTTACAGCATTTCATGTCTCTTATTATTTTTTATTAATTTTTTTTGTTTGACATTTTCTCAGAAATTACGTTTTCCAACAAGCGTTATACCGACCGTTAATTCATGCGTTCAATTTTTTATCCGTTATAAGGTCCTTATGACCTCCTTTGTTTTAATTTAGAGTTTATATCTTGATTATTTATATGACATTGATAAGGATCTGTAGAAGATCGAAACGTGCGTTTGTCTTTAAAATTGTATTTTTATAGTCTTTTTGTGCTGACAGAGGTTGGTTTATTAAATCACTTTTTAATTTAGCAGCTCTGTTTTGCGTTTCAACTGTTAATTAATTTTTCGTACGAACATCCTACGTCACGGTCCGAAAGCCTTCCTTTTCTAATTTGCATTATTATTATTTTATTATTATTATTTACTCTATTATTCCTTTTTTTTATATTAATACTTATTTTTTTTTTACTTTATCTTATTTTTTTTACTTTATCTTATTTTTTATTATTATTTAATATTTTTCTTCAAATGAACTTTTATACTAACATTTATTCTTCTCCGGAGACATTTTGGATGCCTCATTTTTAGTGATTGTGAAAATTGCGGAGATTGCGGAGCTTGCGGAGGTTGTGGAGGTTGCGGAGTTTGCAATGTTTGTAAAGAAGTTTGTCTTTGTGGCAGCTGTCCTTGTTGCTGCTACATTTTTTGGTCGCAGCTGCTAATTGTCGTTGTAAGTCTGCCACCTCTACTTTTAACACTTCATTTTCGATAGCGAGACATATTTCCTCTAAATTTTCTTCCTAAAAAAAATTATAATTTAATATTTTTCAGTCATTCTTTCTAAGTGTGTATGTATATGTGCGTTTTGTATGCGTGTGTGTGTGTGTGCGTGTGCGTGCGCGTGTGCGTACATATGCGTTCTTTCTGCGTGTATATGTGCGTTTGAAATGTGTTGCGTGTGTGTGTGTGTGTGTGTGCGTGCGTGTGTATTGCTTGCGTGCATGCGTAAATGCGTGCGTGCATGCGTGCGGGCTTGTGTGTTTGTGTGCGCGTATGCGTACCTATGCGTTCTTTCTGCGTGTATATGTGCGTTTGAAATACGTTGCGTGTGTGTGTGTGTGTGTGTGTGTGTGTGTGTGTGTGTGTGTGTGCGTGCATGCGTAAATACGTGCGTGCATGCGTGCGGGCTTGTGTGTTTGTGTGCATGCGCGTACGTGTGTGCGTGCGTGCATGCGCGTTCTTTCTGCATGTGAATGTATATATGCATTTGAAATGCGTGTTGTTTGTGTATGGATGTGTGCGTGCGTGTATGTTGCGTGCGTGCATGCGTAAATGCGTGCGCGCGTGCGTGAATGTATGCGTGCGTGCGTTTGCATTGCGTGCGTACGTGCGTGTGCGTGTGTGTTTGTGTGTGCGTGCGTGCATGTGCGTGCCTGCGTATATTTGGTTGTGTGCGTGTATATGTATGTATTTGTACAAAGTTATAATAAAAATTCATACTTACAATTTGCATTTTAGTGTGTGTTGCTTCCTGCGGCTTTTTCGGCATTTCTAAACATTTTATTTTTTAAATTCTCTTATTTTTATTTAAATACACAAGAACTGGTACGAAATTAATATAAAATGTAGTAACTATGGTAATAATTGCATTTTCATCTTTCCGCAATATTAATTAACTGTCAAGTTTGCTGTGATTTATTTCATTCGTGTTATCTGACGAGGAAGAAAAACATATAATAGCAAAAGATTACAAGAAAGGTTGAGAGAGATTGAAAAAGAAAAACAGGAAGAAAAAATAAAGAAAAGTATGTATTTTTATGTATAGATATGTGTATAGGAATATATATATATATATATATATATATATATATATATATATATATACAGGTTGAATTTTATTTCGTGTGTCAATCATTTTATCATGCGGGAGATTATCGACTGGATAATAAATTGATCGGTACATAAATATTCTTTTTAACGACCGTATCAAAGAATATAATGTGTATAATAATAATATAAAAATAAATTTGTAGCTTTAATAATAATAATAAATCCATACTTCAGCTTTTAATTTAATTAAATTTTACACATTATATTCTAGCATCTGATACGGTCGATCCAAATAATTGACATTTATGTATCGATCATTTTATTATGCAGTCGATAATTTTCCGCATGATATAAAGATTAACATGGAAAATAAAACTCACCCGTATATGATTAAGAGAGAGAGGGCGGGAGAGAGAATGAGATCGTTTTGAAAGATACAAAAAAGAAAGATGAAAAAAGAGAGAAAAAAATGAAATAATAAAAGAATATTGAAAATATATTATTAACATTTTTGCTATTTATTTAGAATAAAAGAAGCTGGAAACTGGTTTAAAAAAGAGAAAAGAAAAAGAAGACAAAGAGAAAACCAAACAAAGAAAGAATAAAAGAGGTAGGAAAAAGATTCGTAAAAAAAGAGAATAGATTAAAAAGAGAAAAGTAGAAAAATTGATAGAGAAAGATTGATAAAGGTATTTATATATATTTGTATGTATATACACATATAGATATTAACTCATTTAATTTAATGGATGTTTTTGTCATTTATTAACAAAGTATTTGATAAAATTGTTTGTTAGTTCTGATATTGATTTACTTAATTTTATTTACCTGTTATTTTCTGTGTGGCAGAATCAAATATCTTTTTCTTTATCATAATTAAATTAATATATGTTATACTATAATATATGTTATATGTTATAAAAAAGATTCCATATACCATATACTTTGTTTTCCTAAAACATAATATAATAAAATTGATTTTTAAAAATTTAATTTTTTTATTTCCTGGTCTTAGAAATTTTGTACTTCATAAAGACTAATTAATAAATGTTAATAATAAATCTTTAAATAAAACATATATACATATATTTTTTATATGTATGCTACTTATATATATAATTTATATATATATATGTATATTATATATATGGCGGTTCGTTCGTTGTGTGTCCGCCTTAATCGCGTGTTCTCGAATTCGGCAGGAGAAACATGGCCGCAGAAGTGTGTAGGTGAGCCTCTGAGTAATGACACGTTATCAAAATTTAACGACATATTTACAATATTTACATGGGCCCTGAAAAGGACCGTTTGTATTTGTAGATTTCATTGGTTTAAACAGCCCTGAAAAGGGCCGTTTAAATTACAGGCGCTCCCTGTAAGATATGCTTGGCAGGGTCTTCGTATAGCGGAGCTGGAATTTCGGACAGTTGTTATTAATGTCCACCTTACTCCTAGGGCGATTGTTGTTTTCGTCCACTGCCGCTGGCTCGGTCTGCGTGGCTGCGATCTGCGTTGACGTCTCCCAGTCCGAGTCTGACTGCGTGCCTTCGGTGGTCGCCGGAGGTAGAGGCGTCACCTGGGTGCTTCGGTGCACTCTGCTCGTCGCTGCGGTTTGCGTCGCCTTGGTGGATCTGCCAGGTGGTGAAGGCGGCAGAGGCAGGAGAGGGCTCCTGGTACTGCCCAGTGTCCAGTTGGCGATGTGTACCTCCTGATGCGCATGTCCCAGACTTCCAGAAGTTGTCGAGGTGGCCTGGTGAATCTGAGTGGCTCCAGGTCTATCAGGTGCAGCTTCCAGGCAGGAGTTCGAAGGAAACTTGTCTTTCTGGTTCGGCGCCTCCGTAGATCGGCTGTTGTCGGATGAGCCCTGGTGATCGGGGCGTCGACGTCGGCCGAGGTATGCGGCTCCGCTGGCGCAGTATTGCGAAACCTGCCGGTTACTGGGAGTTCCAAAAACTCCAAAAGAGTACTCGAGCTTGTTCGTCTTGTGAGCAGTTTATCCGTTCTTGCTGACTCGCGAGCTGAGACTCGATTTCGGCCTTCCGCGGTAGGCCTTATATACGGGCCCTGCCGGATCTCACTTGCGCGAAGATCGGCGCCTGTATGCTCGCGCTGCCGCGCGCTAGTTTGCGCGCCTAGGTTGCCGTGCGTTCAGGCGCTCGGCGCTGTACGCCGTTACGCCTGTGTGGCGTATGGCAAAATGCCACAGGACCCCCCTGGTTAAGTTAGGGGGTACACCTGGTTGTGGTAGAACTGGTCCTAATTGGCTGTGAACCGTACTGGTCGACGTACTGTTCGTTCTGCTCTTGTCGTTTTGGATGTAGCTTCCGGGTCCGTCTTTGGCACCTCGTGGGTTGGCGTTCCGTCATCCAAGATGTAGGCTGGCTTCAATCTGTAAAGTGATATGTTGACAGCCTTGCCTCTGACTCGGAGTTTGTACGTCTTGTCGCTTCAGTTCAGTACTTCAAATGGTCCGTCGTATGGCAAGTGAAGAGCTCCGGCTGGTGCATCGTGTCGCACGAATACGTGTGATGCTGTCTCCATATCTTTGAAGACGAAGGTGGTCTTTCTGGCATGATGCTTGACCGTTGGTTGAAGTCGGATCATTGCCTTCCTCAGCCTTGTTACTAGTGTGTCTTCCTCTCCTTGCCTGAGCGAATTGCTGCTGTCCAAGAACTGTCCTGGAAGGCGTATTGGCTCTCCGTATAGCATCTCTGTTGGAGTGGAGTTCACGTCTTCTTTCCAGACTGCCCTGATGCCGAGTAGTACGACGGGTAGGACTTGGGTCCATGCCTCCGTCTCGTAGCATTTGATTGCGGCTTTCAGTTGGCGATGAAACCTCTCCACCATTCCGTTCGCTTCTGGATGGTACGCTGTTGTCCGGATGTGCTTAGTGCCAGTTAGTCTGGTCCTTGAAAAGTTCAGCTTCGAATTGGCGGCCCTGGTCCGTCGTAATTCGGGCTGGTGTGCCGAACCGCCAGTCCGTGAAGATGTGCCTGGCGATTGTTTCTGCCGATGATGTTCGGTACTGGAATAGCCTCTGCCCATAGCGTGAATCTGTCAACCATGGTGCAGCAGTACCTGCATCCTTCGGACATAGGTAGAGGTCCGACGATGTCGACGTGAATGTGCTGGAATCTTTGCGTTGGCTGCGTAAAAATTCCAGTCCGCGTGTGGTTATGCCTGGTCACCTTTGTTTTTTAGCACTGGATGCACGCTCGTGCCCATTCTTTGCAGTCTCGCTAGATTCCTGGCCATACGTATCTCTCCGCTATGAGTTTGGCTGCAGCCTTCATTCCTAGGTGTGATAAACCGTGTAGGTATTGGAAGACGTTTCTCCGTAGGCTCTTAGGTACGTATGGTCGGACGACCGGTGTGTTGGTGTCGCACCATGCTGACTCTTTTGATCCGGGCACCGGAATTTGCGTTAGCTTGAGTTTATCTTTGCATTGCAGAAGTTCCTATAATTCCTCGTCGTCCTTCTGTTCTTGTGCTATTGTGTCGAGTTCTACGGCCGTTTGTACGGTTTCTACCCGTGACAATGTATCGGCTACTGTGTTGTCCTTACCTTCTATGTATGTCCGTCGTGAATTGTCCTATGAACTCGAGATGTCGCGCTTGTCTTGGCGAGCTCTGCATAGGATCCTTCTTAAATGCGTATATTAATGGCTTGTGATCCGCGAAAATGGTGAATACTCTTCCTTCTAGCATATGCCTGTAGTGTTTGATGGTGATGTATATGGCTAGTAATTCCCTGTTGTATGGGCTGTATTTTACTTGTGCGGTACTCAGTTTTTTGCTTAAAAATGCCAGAGGTTGCCATCCGTTCGTCGTTTTCTATTGAATCACAGCGTCGATTGCAGTTGCTGATGCGTCGGTCATTACTGCGAGATTAGCCGTTGGATCCGGATGAGCTAAGAGCGTTCCTCTCGCTAGGCTCTCCTTGCATTGTTCGAATGCCTGTTCGCGCTCCAGATTCCACTCGACCGTTTTCCCTTTCGTTTTAGGTCCTTTTAAAGCATCGTTCAAGATTGCCTGTTCTTCCGCAGCCTTTGGAATGAACCTTCTGTAGAAGTTGATTATCCCAAGAAACTGTCGTAGCTGCTTCACCGTCGTTGGTTGCGGGAAGCTTTTTATGGCGGTAATCTTTTCTGGCAAGGGTTGAGTTCCTTTCTTTGTGACTAAGTATCCCAGAAAACGTACTGTGTCTGATCCGAACGTGCATTTGGCTGGGTTAATTCTAACCCCGTACTCGTTGAGTCGTGCGAATAGTTGTCTCAAATGCGTCTCGTGTTGTTCTTTATCCGCTGATGCCACCAGAATGTCATCTATGTACGCATAGCAGAATTCCAGGCCATGAAGAACTTCGTTGATGAATCTTTGGAATGTTTGTGCTGCATTGCGTAGTCCGAATGGCATGTATCTAAATTCAAAGAGACCAAACGGTGTTGTTATGGCCGTCTTCGAGATGTCTTCTTGTCGCACTGGAATCTGGTTGTACGCTCTAACCAATTCGATCGTTGAAAAGATCTTCTTTTGGTGGAGCGTCTGCGCGAAGTCTTCAATGTGCGGTATCGGATATCTGTCTGGAATGGTCCTTGCATTTAGTCGCCTGTAATCTCCGCATGGCCGCCAAGTGTTATCTTTCTTCGGGACCATGTGAAGAGGTGATGACCATGCGCTTTTTGATGGTTGTATGATGCCTTCTTGGAGAAGTAGGTCGAACTCTGCTCTGGCTATTTTTAGCTTGTCCGGCGCTAATCTCCTTGGCCTGCAGGCTTCCGGTTGGTCTGGCGTCATTTGTATGTGATGCTCTGTCCCGTGTTTTATCACTTTCCTGGCTTGTGTCGGTCTGGTGATATTCGGGAACTCCTTTACGAGCGTGTGGAACTCGCTTTCTTCTACCACGATTTTGATTGATAGGACCTGTTTGTAGCATTTTGTGCTTGCGGCTATTAATCCGGTCTTTCCATCGAGCTTGCCCCCTCTCATGTCCGGTAGCAAGTCGTAGTGCGCGAGGAAGTCGGATCCGATAATAGGTTGACCCACGTCGGCTACTATAAACCTCCAAGGAAATGCTCTCCTCAGGTTGAAATCCGGCTTGATCGTGATTGAGCCGTATGTAATTATCGGTGAGCCATTTGCCGCAAACAGCTCGTATGCTTCTGGTCGTCTTTTGGTGTTGGTGGAAGATCGTGGAAAGACGCTTACGTCCGATCCAGTGTCCACTAGATATTTTATCTTTGTGTTATTGTCCGTGATGTATAGGCGGCTTGGTGTCGGGCTGATTTCATTTGCCGCCAGCAATGAGTGCCCTATTCGTTTTTTTCGAATGTGGACGGCTGTGCACAAGGTCGAGCGTCTGCTCCGAATCGTCTGTGATAATAGCATAGACCCTCCTTGACGGGAGTCTTGCTGCATGGTCTACCCCTTGACCGGCTTCTTGCTCGACTGCGTCCTTTCCGCAACTCCTTGGCCATGTTGGTCAGCTGTTCTGTCAGGGTAGCCACTTGTTGTGTGAGTGCTTCTATCTGGCTTGCCCACGTGCTCTGCGGACTGCTGGTGGAAGGTACTGGTGGATGCTCTGCTGCCAAGACGAGGACTCTGCAGTTTACCTCGTGGATTTTATCTGCCTGCTCTGCTACGTCCTGGAGTTTGTCTGTCTTCCTGGTGGCTAATATGGCTTGCGTTTGTGCGGGAAGACGCCCTAACCATAGCGTTCGCAGCAAATCCTTGGATACGGTAGTCCCTGCCAGCGTAGACAAGTGTCGGAGGAACTGCGACGGCTTTCTATCTCCAAGCTCCTCTCTTTCTAGCAGTTATCGGATCCGCTGCTCCTGCGAATCTGTCAGTCGCTGTACGAGTGCGCTCTTTATAGCAGCATATTTGTTGCTGGAGGGGGGATAGGTGATGACGTCTTTTATCTCCCTTGCTTGTCGCGGCTCTAACTTGGATAAGACGTATCCGTATCTTATGTCGTCATTGGTGACATAATTCCGGATCTTCCGGCCAGAATGGTGGGATGCGCATTGCCACTCGATTAACGCTGGTGTCGTCATCATCTACGATGATCGTGCTCTCCTTCTTCGGCATGTTTCACTCTCTCCTGAACGTCGGCTGGTCACCAGTTTATGGCGATTCGTTTGTTGTGTGTCCGCCTTCATCGCGTGTTCTCGAATTCGGCAGGAGAAACGTGGCCGCAGGAGTGTAGGTGAGCCTCTGAGTAATGACACGTTATCAAAGTTTAACGACGTATATTTACAATATTTACATGGGCCCTGGAAAAGACCGTTTGTATTTGTAGATTTTTGATGGCCCTGAAAAGGGCCGTTTAAATTACAGGCGCTCCCTGTAAGATAGGCTTGGCAGGATCTTCGTATAACGGAGCTGGAGTTTCGGACGGTTGTTATTAATGTCCACCTTACTCCTAGGACGATTGTTGTTTTCATCCACTGCCGCTGGCTCGGTCTGCGTGGCTGCGGTCTGCGTTGACGTCTCCCAGTCCGAGTTCGACTGCGTGCCTTGTTCGGTGGTCGCCGGAGGTAGAGGCGTCACCTGGGTGCTTCGGTGCACTCTGCTCGTCGCTGCGGTCTGCGTCGCCTTGGTGGATCTGCCAGGTGGTGAAGGTGGCAGAGGCGGGAAAGGGCTCCTGGTACTGCCCAGTGTCCAGTTGGCGATGTGTACCTCCTGATGCGCACGTCCCAGACTTCCAGAAGTTGTCGAGGTGGCCTGGTGAATCTGGGTGGCTCCAGGTCTATCAGGTGCAGCTTCCAAGGCAGGAATTCGAAGGAAACTCGTCTCTCCGGTTCGGCGCCTCCGTAGATCGGCTGTTGTCGGATGAGCCCTGGTGATCGGGGCGTCGACGTCGGCCGAGGTATGCGGCTCCGCTGGCGCAGTATTGCGAGACCTGCCGGTTACTGGGAGTTCCAAAAACTCCAAAAGAGTACTCGAGCTTGTTCGTCTTGTGAGCAGTTTATCCGTTCTTGCTGACTCGCGAGCTGAGACTCGATTTCGGCCTTCCGCGGTCGGCCTTATATACGAGCCCTGCCGGATCTCACTTGCGCGAAGATCGGCGCCTGTATGCTCGCGCTGCCGCGCGCTAGTTTGCGCGCCTAGGTTGCCGTGCGTTCAGGCGCTCGGCGCTGTACGCCGTTACGCCTGTGTGGTGTATGGCAGAACGTTACATATATATGGTGTGACGTTGCCGACCTGTTGCGCGTCCATCCGCCTCGATAATTTTAACGGGGCGCGGGCCGAGCGGCCGCGCCAGAATCTACATCGAGAGAACACTATCGAGATCCCCGGAGAGACGAGCTAAATCATTATGTTTTTCGCGTTACTAATTTTATGTATTATTTTTTGTAACGAGCAAAATTCGGGCAACCCACCGGAGAAGATTCGGAGGGCGAGAGGGCAGCGAAGGATTGCGGGTGACCGGCGACATGGCGCATAACAGCGACCGACAGTGGAAGAAATAGCGCCCGGAAAATCAAGCAACCGGACGCCAAGGAGGCAACCTCGCCCCCTTTCTAACAGGACCGAGCAAAGGGCTGTTCGGCGCTACCTCCCCCGCAGAGGCGAGGACGACAGCCGAGCCTCCATCAGGCCCTAGTAAAGAGGCCCGCGACAGCTGAGCCTCCATCGGGCCCTAGTAAAAAGACCCGCGACAGCAGAAAATTCGAATTAAATTATTTTCGCGCGAGGTGCCAGGACACCGCGTATGGCGCGAGGCGCCAGGATCTCTCGCGTGTCGCGAGCCGATTGACCCTTGGCGGGGCTGCGCACCCCACCAAGCGGTCATTGACGCCGCTATCAACCCCGGGCCGCGAGATTCAGGGATCACTCTGGTGCTGGCGCTCTCTGCAATAAGTCGCTTCATGATTAGCGTGTCGTTGTCGAACTCTTTGGGTCTGTCGCCGTTGAGACATCCGTAGAGAACGAGGACATCCCCAGCACGAGGAGAAGTATCGATGAGGTTGCCCATTTCTTATTTGTGAGCCACATACGCGATTCGGTCCGCGGGTCGGCCATTCTGCCGCCATCGCCAT